GGTTCGATCCCAGTGCTACCAAAAATAAATAAGTGAATAAAACCAATTGTACCCTAAATGCAAACAGTGGACACAGCAGCAATTAGAAATTTTAAATCCATGAACAGGGCGCGCTTCGGCAGCACATATACTAAAATTGGAATGATACAGAGAAGATTAGCAGGGCCCCTGCACAAGGATGACACGCAAGTCTGTGAAGCCTTCCATATTAAAAAAATAATAATAAAATAAATCCATGAACAATAAAATCAAAATTAGAAAATACTCAGGTGAAACACAAGAGGGGCCAAATCCCAACACAGCAAACAACCAGACATCACTGAACAAAATTTGAGGGGCTGCAGTTGGTGAGATACGGCATGCGCACGGGCTGAGAGACGCCAGCACTTTATGTTTGTTTGTTGAGACAGGATCTCACTGCATAGTTCAGGCTGCTTCTGTACTAACTACATAGCCCGGGCTGGCCTTGAACTTGCAGCAATCCTCCTGCCTCAGCCTCCTGAGTGCTAGGATTACAGACGTGCGCCACCATTTCTGGCGAATGACAGCTCTTTAAACATGTCAGCACTCCTCGAACCGCTCTACAGAATCACAGGCAGTCCCAAAGCAAACCTCCACAGGCTTCCTCACAGAAGTTACCCAACTGAGTCCAACATCTATTTGGAACTAAAAGGGACCTGGCAGAGCAAAGGTAATTTTGAAAAAGAAGCGAGCCGAAAGGCTTCCTGATTCCAAACCTACCATAAGGCGACAACACAGGTTCAGCACGGTACAGAACCGGGCACCAGAAGGCAGGGTCCAGAGCCGCACACGGGTGCTCAAGGCTTTCCGAGGAGTTTCAGGCAGAGAGCATGGGCCAGGGCCAGGCACCAGGCAGGCAGTGACTGAGAGCAGCGTGTTCACTCAGGGCCATGGCTGTCCCCCCTCAGGGACAGAAGGTCCAGAGATGAGCACGTCAGTCAGCCAGCAAGCTCCACCTGTGACCGTGGGGTAGGCTGAAGTCCTTTCTGGTGTGCTCAGCCACCCACTGATGAAGAATTTTTTTCTTTTTTTGGTGCTGAGGATTGAACTCAGGACCTTGCACTTGCCGGGCAGGTGCTTATGCTGCTGAGCTGTCTCCCCAGCCCCTGGTGAAGAATTCTTGCCTGAGGTTTAACCCGAGTCTGATTCGGCCTCCGGAGCTAGCTTCTAGTTCACAGGCAAGATCCCAAGGGGAGCCTGAGAGGGAGAGACTGCGTGCTGGGTGAGGCGGAGACAGCAGGGAGCTGGCCGTGCCTCTGGAGCCGGTGACATCGGTCTCGGGCACCTCAGGGGTTCTGGTTCCTGATGAGTGGCTCCAACATTTCTAGACAAGGGGCACCTGTGCAGGTGGCCTGGGCAGCTGGGGACAGTAGGGAAGTCGCTGCTGGCTTCTTTCATGTGACAAATGGTGTTGGGGGCTGTGCCTCCTGTTCAGGATCCCTTGGGTGTGGTGGCAATGACTGTAATCCCAGCAGTTGGAGGCTGAGGCAGGAGGATTGCTGAGAGTTCGAGACCAGCCTGGGGGCTTCAAAAGTGAGCTCAAGGCCAGCCCGAACTGCATCGTGAGACCCTGTCCCAAAAGGAAAGAAGTTTCATGTACAACCTTACTCAGGTTTCTTTTCTTTCTCTGGGTGGGGGAGCGCTAGAGACGGAATCGAGGCTTTCGTAGATAGCTCCATCCCCAGCCTTCTTCATTTTTATTTATTTCATTTTGAGGCAGGGTCTCTCCAAGTCACTGAATTCCCCCAGCTGGGCCCAAATTTTCAATCCTCCTGCCTCAGCCTTCCAGGGGGTTGGGATTATAGGTGTGCGCTCCTAGGCCAGGTAGTAATGTTTCTGAAAGGTTCCCATAGCCTGAACAATTTCCACACAAGCTGTGGAGGGACCACAGTGGGCAGGAGGCAGCCCCCGCCCAGCTCCTGTGCCCTGGTGATATCAGAGAACAAATGATGGCTGGGAAGGTGCAGACACCTGCCAAGGTCCCCAAGTGGGTCCGGGCCACCTGTGTCACTCCCACCTCCATCTGTGGCAGGTCAGCTTAGACTTGGTCTTTGGCTTCTAAAAGTCCCCCTGCACTGTACTGTGTCCCTCTATTGTGCTTGCAGAAACCTCCTTCCAACACATGGTGTCCTTAGAGGGGAACCCCAAGGGCTGCGGCATCCACAGTGACCACCGTTTCCTGAAGCCCCCAGTCATCTGCTGGTCTGGGCTGGACACCTTTTTGAGCGACTGAAGAGCTCAGCCCAGGACTTTGACCCCTCTGAGCCAGGAGACGGAGCAGGAGTTTTCCCTGCTGCTTCATGACTTGCTGCCAAGTTCCCGGGCTGGCGGGGCAGCGCTGGCGGGACTCCCAGGGCAGAGGGCCAGGAGGGACCCAGCAGGAGAGGGAAGACAGTAGAGCAGAGGCCCAGGGGAGCCAGGAATGGTGTGCAGGTGCACACACACATGTGCACACACGGGCCTGCGTCCCGGCCTCTGTCCTGCATCTATGAGCCACCTTTAGTCTAACAAGTGACTCCCCATCAGTCCCTCCAAAGACCCACAGTATTTTACCCAAAGACTCGGCCTGCACCCCAGCTACCCAGGGTGGCACCCCTATTATCTCATCCTGGAGGACACGGCTCTTGAGGCAATGGAGGCCACAAAGCCGGATCCAGTTGAGCCCAGATCCAGTTGAGCCCCTGGAGCCCCAGTGTCCCACCTGGACTGCATCAGGCCACATCTGGAGGGGAACCCGGCCCTGCCCACTGTGAAAGAAGCCCCACCACAGGGTGCAGCCGGGCAGCTAGCCAGAAAGGCGCAGGGCAGAGAAGTGAGCTGGGAACTTTGTGCCCTCCATCACCAACCCTCAGCCGCTCAGCAACCCCTGGAAGCCAGGCACAGGGTCTGTCTCTGCCCCAGGGGAGTGGGGAGCTCAGGCCACCTGTCAGCCCACTTAAACCCCAGGACAAACCAGGCATGGTGGGGCATGCCTGTCGCCTAACATTCTGGGAGGCTGAGGCAAGGGCGTAGAAAGTTGGTGCCCGCCATGGGCAGCTTGGTGACCCTGTCTCAAAGTGAAAACTCAAGAAGGGGCTGGGCATGCAGCTTGGTGCAAAGGCCCCGAGTTCAATCCCAGCATCACCTCTCAGAAAAAGCAGGAGTCTCCCCTTTTTGGAAAAGCCCTGTCCCTGCTCCTTGCCTCTCTGGACCCCACCACAGCCTTGGGCTCCACCACACTGGGCCTGCAAGCTGCACCCCCAGTGTTCCCAGAGCCATCCTGTGGCCTTAGCCAAGGACAGACCCACCACAGGCTGCTGACCAGCATGAAAACAATGTTCTGGGGTACAGGGTTCCAAGCGGACACAATCTCCCTCCCCAAGACTCAGGCACCACCCAGGTAGCCTCCTTGCCCCCCACAGGGGTGAACCACCAGACAACCCCCACTGTTCAGTCACCCTGCTCTCTGAAAACAAAAAGGTCGAGGAGCATGGCCCGAGAGCCTGCCGGGGCCCCTGGGACCACACACACCAGCTGCGGGGCCAGGGAGCTGGCAACCTCTGAGGCTGGAAGGCTCCCGCTTCTGCTGTAGCCGAATAGCAGGATAGTGACTCCTTTTTCCTTCTCAAACTCAAAACCTCTCAACCCGATCGCTTATCTCAGAAAGCACAGACGGGGCTCTTTGTTTCAAAGTTTGCACACTCAGCACAAATGTGCCACACAACGCTCAGGCCCGGCCTCGGCAGTGGGTGGAAAGGGTGTGTAGGAGGCGCCCCAGCCCCTTCCCTGCAGTTCTCTGTGGGGAGCACAGCGAGGCTGTCTCATCGATGTCCTGTGGGTTTGGACAAGGGCCAGTAGCCCTTCGACTCCCTCCTGGGGCCCACAGTGGGGAAGCCCGAGCCACAGGCAGAGACCCAGGAGCGTGTGGGGCCACAGGCAGGGCTGCACCAGGGTGAGGCCTGTGACTGACCCTTTCCTGATTCAGCCTGGCCAGGGACAAATGTCCAGGTGCTTGATAAATGTCAGGGTTTGCATCGCAGTGGAGGTGTCTGTGGGTGAGATCTGCATTCAATGAGGTGACTTCAAGACCACGCAAGGCCCTTGTCCTGCCAGTGAAGGCACTAGGAAGGTGCCAGCTCAGTAGTGGGGCTGGTTCCTGGAGACAGCAGCAACCTGAAGCTACCCAGGGACACCTCCCATCGCGGCATTAACAGAAAGCCGGGTGTGGCCCAGGCGGCTCCCAGCACCTGTACTTTTGAGGCTGCCTCGATGTCCCGACTCCATTTAGAATGTTTCATTTGCACGGTGACTTTGACTTGGGGGACAATCAGAATGTGCAGGGCAGCAGACCCGGTGAACAAGGTGGGTGAGGACGCAGCGGCCCATTTCCACAAGCCCGCCTGTGTTCGTGGGCGCTGGGCAGGGCACTCGTTGGCCTAGATCGCACCTCATACAGACCCTCAGGAGAAGGCGCTTCCAGCACTGCTTCAGAAAGTGGCAAGAGAGTTCAATCCCCTGTTCGGGGGAGCGGGGGGATGTGGCAAGAACGGTGGGGCAGGCGTACTGGGGAGGGTCCAGGCAGCAGGCCTTTGCCCATGTTCTAACTTTCATCGGATACTCTGATCATATTTGCTGGCACTGGGACCCAGGACCTTGCTCTGCCACTGGGCCACAGACACCCCAGCCACCAAGTGTAGATTTTTTTAAATCACCCCACAGTCCCCAGCTGCAGGCCCACTCTGCGCCCTCCTGACCTCTGCTTAGGAGTCACCCTTTCTACCTCGCATGTGCGGGGCGCCTCGCACTCCTGGCACCCGAGGTCTGATTCTAGCCGCTCTCAGCCGGGGAGGAGTGGACTCTTATCTCGCCACCCTCTGGCTAACGTTTCCTCCGGTCCCCAGCAACTGAAGGCTTCATGAAGACGGAGCACAGGGTGAGATGGGCTCACATAGCGCCTGAGAGCCCAGTACAGGGCCTGGCACAGCTAGACCCTCGCCCCAGGATGCTCAGCGACAATAACCACGCACTGCAAAGCAGGCTTTCTCTGGGCCCAAGGAGCTCTACCGTCCCCAGCCTGCTTCACCTCCCCCAGCTCACACTGCCTGCCGTGGCTTGGGCTCTCGTGGCCACCCCTGTCCCCCCCAACACAAACCTGGCAGGGGGCCCAGCCTCTGGGACCCACATGGTGGGGCTGACCACAGGCCCCTGTCGGAGCCTGGCATCAGGGCCTGCACCGCGCACGTTATGCAAAACGGGTTTCGAATCACCCAACTACTCTATTTATAATTCATAGTAAAATGGTTTGTTGCTGTAAAAATATACTTGCACATTACACAAATAGACCCGTGCTGCGATGATGTTAGTGCTGCAGCTACAAATTAACACCTCCTTACCTCGGGCAGACTAGCAGCGAACAGAGCGCAGCGGAGCCCACGTGCAGGGCCCACAGATGAGGGCTGGGCGGCATCGGCAGCACCTGCGCCCTGCTCACGACTGTGTCCGGCAAAGGGCCTTGGGGACTGGGGGAGGGTGGCATGTCACCCTGGCCTGACCCTCCAAGGGCTAGGCAAAAGGGGCTTCCCTAGGACTCGTGGGAAGTTACGGGGTTTCCCCAGCTCAGATGGCAGGGTCCTGGGCAGCTCCACAACTAGCAGTTTTCACACTTTTGTCTCAGTGATGCCACATATTTGCACACCCATTGTCCACTCCTCACCTGCTCTGGTGGACAGCACGTGACCTCGGCTGGGCCGGGTGTGGGATGGGAGACCGATGGTGGGCCCGATCCCTGGGTAGGGTGGCCAAAGGGGACACGATGATCAAGCAGCTGCCTGGAGCCACTGCATGAGCTCATCGCAGACCCCGGGCCAGGCACTCTCAAAAGAGCACAGCTACTAGGGCCACCGGCTCTGTGGTGGCCATCACAGGGACCAATGTCACAACTTGGAGCTTCGGTCCAGCCTCGAGGTGCACGAAGTCCAGCCCAGTCCCTCCAGTGTCCTCATCCCCAGGCGCTTGCTCTGGTGGGCACCTCATACGTGCAAGGTACTGAACACACACACAAACACACAATGCACTTGCACACACTGCTCAACAGCTGGCCTAATAGGGCCAGAAAGATCTTATCACCCCTCTCAAAGGTATGTGTGGGGACACAAGCCCGAGCCAGTCGGCACTTGGCAATTTCCCCAGCCACTGAAATGCGTTCACTCCGGCCCCCGAGGCACCAGGAAGTTTTCTAGATGCTTCTAGAAAGTAAGACCCTGCTCTCCGAGTGCCCTGGAAGGAGCTTGTCCATGCAGCTGCTCATGCAGAGGCGGCCTGGATGGCTACAGCTGTTGGATGGCTACCCAAGCCCTGCTGTTAGGACCAGGCCCCTCCCTATCCCCACACCTCACCATATGTCAACCCTCTCCACATCCAGGGCTCCTATCCTCTTGGGACAAAACTCAACCCCTGAAGTCTGGTTGAGCCTGCTGCTGTTATGCTCCAGGGATCTTGTCCTACTCCCTCTCCCCCTTGACACAGCCTCTGCGCCTGCCCCAGGGCCTTTGCACCTGCTGCTGTCCTTTCTGCCTGGAACCTGTGGACCTAGTTAAGGTAGGTCTCATCCTCACCCTTGACTGAGCTCCAGTTCCCAGTTCAGGCTGAGTGCAAACCTGGCCCCTCTGGCAACTAAAGGAGCATTCGTGGGGCAAAATGAATTCCACTGTGACCTGCACACCCCACTTTACAGAAAGATCTGCTGCACCTAGGCCAACCTAATGAAGACTACCTCTCGCTGGAAAGGAAAGTGCCACAGGTCCCGCAGGGAGTCCAGGCCACCTAGTGCCTCTCAGGACGTGGACCTGCTCTGAGACTCTCTGTGAGCCATCCCGGTATATCCCAGGTACACATCCAGGAAATGAGCCTAAGCCCTGACCTTTCCATGCCTGAGGCCATGACCAGGGCTTAATCTGGCCACCTGGTAACATCACACTGAAAACTCCACACACTCCAACATACAGCTCCATAATGAGAACCTGTCTGGCGGGGGAGAGAGCCCTGTGTCGGGCTTGGTTTACCCACTTCACCATGCCTTCCTGCATCTAAACATCGCATGTGTGCTATAAACAGGTACCATTTTTAGTTTCCCATTACACCTTCACAAGGTTGGGGAAAATAATTAAAAATCAAAGCCAAGGGGCCAGGGAGAGGGCTCGGTGGAATAAGTGCTTCCCTGGCAAGCGCAAGAGCCTGAGTTCAATCCCTGGTTCTGCCAAAAAAACAAAAAGGAGGAAAGAAAGGAAGATAGATCAAAGCCAACAGGGATTCCCACTGCAATATGTGCAGAGTCTGAGGTCTGAGAACAGCTCTAGAAAGCCCAGAGAGCCAGGAAGGGGTGATGATGGAGTGCGCCCGGGCTGGGGTGCTGCCGGGCTCGCTGTGCGTCCTGCTTTCCTGCAAATATCTGAAATTCTCCAAACTTAAAAAAAAAAAAAAAAAAGTGAGAAAACAAACCCTCTCTGTAAAGTGAGTGCGGGGTGTAATGAGAGCACCACCCCCCAGTTCTACGGAGGAGGTACCTGTGAGCCCTCCAGCATGCCAGGGGTTCAGCCTCCTGCAGAACCAAAGCCCACAGAGCCACAGCCCAGACAGTGCCCCTGCCCCCGTCCCCTCCAGCTGCTCTGATGAATGTCCAGGTTGGGGAGGAGGGGACTGTCCAGTCCCTTCAGGGAGTTTCCGGAACCTTCACCAACCCAACCAGTTTCTTCCAAGGGCGCCTCGCTGTACTCCCCCCAGCTGAGAGCTGGTCTCTGCCCTGAGGAAGGACGGGTCTGGGCCCTAGTGCAGAGGCCTCCCTGCCTCGGGTATCATATCCCTGTATCCCTTGGGTAGTGCGGAAGGGGCAGACCCTGCCCTGGGGACCACCCTGCTCTTGCACAGAATTCACAGGCTTCTGCGGCAATCTGAGGAGAACAAACAACCACTGACTCGGTCACACCAATAGCGGGCTGGGGCCCGGGCTGTGGGCCCACGGTGGCGCCCGCGCACTCTGCTGAGCCCTGACTTCATTCTGCAGGGCTCCAGGACAAGCTGTGGCTAACAGCGTCCATTAGTGAGGAAAGAAATAAATCTAGGAGTTGGGAGTCACTCAGCCAGGGCTTCTGGCTCAGGGACCCAGAAAATTAGCATCTGCTGCCAGGAGTTCCAAAGAAACCCCAGAGAAAGACAGCTGGGCTGGGACACAAAAGCATGGGGCCCACCTGTGACCCAGCCCCCAACACGGCCTTCCCCAGAAGGGCTTTTCTCAAAAGCACCCCTGGGGGCCTGGGAGGCCTCTGGACACCCACAGCCTGACTCTTGGGTACTAAGTTGAATCAAAGAATTGGAAGGAGGAGTTAATTTATCTAGAAAGAAATGGACAGCATCAGTTTTCTGTCCTTAGGAGAATTTCAAATTCTTGTAACACCAAACAGCCAGCTGACCCGGGGTGCAGAGTGGTGGACACTGTGGCTACAGACAGCTGGCTGTTGACACCCTCATGCCTCGGCGTCCTCATCTGTAAAAGTGGATGGTAACAGTCCCTGCCCCGGACCCAGAGGTGATGGTGGAAGGGGCACTCAGTGTTGGGTAAGGCGTGGTGGTCTCTAAGGACGGTGGCCACCCCAGGGTGGGAGGATGGCCGGCAGGTCCTTTTACAGAGCAGAAGCCATTGCGCAAGAAGGAAGGTGACCTGCTTGGCAACACCAACTCTCTGCATTTCTTCGGCTTTCCCACCTTCAGGCTGCCCGTGCCTCAGTTTCTCCATCAGTGAAGGGAGGGTGGGAGCAGGGAATGGGATGAGAGGCTAATGGGCTGGAGGCTGATCTCAGGTACCTCCAGGGTGACCGACCTGCTCCTGTTCCCTTTAACCTCGTAGTTCACAGAGCTTAAGACCAGCTAGCGTGGTCTAGTAAATGCCACTGGCTGGCGAGTCCCCAGACTTTAGTCTCGCTGGGCACATTTCAATGACTCCAGGACCTTCTCTGTCCGCATTGTCACACACCGCATCTGTCACGAACGCAGGGGCACTTCCACCCTCACCTGCACTTGGGAGCCATCTCTAGCCACCGAGAGCCACACCCTTCCCTCCCAGCCTCCCGCTCACCTTCCAGCAACTCCTCCAGGAAAACCCCTTCACCGTCTCCTGAAAGCCCCTGGCTTCTCCCACAGATACCAGAAAACTGGACAAAAGGACAGGGACCAGACAGGAGGCTGACCACGGACAGCTTTTCACAGAAAGCACAAACAAGGAACTCGGGACATAACCCGAATATCCCGAGAGCGATCAACCCAAGACTTTATTTCCGTCCTCACCTGGACAAACGTCACCCTGCTCTTCATAAGCGGAAGGAGGGACCTACGCGCCGCTGGAGAAAACGTCCCAGCGCAGCCATTAGAAGGGCGGCTCTGTCCCCGCCCCGTCCCCGCGGGCCACCCGAGAACTCAGGAATTCCGCCCCTCCCCCCCCGCCCCTCCGCACAGGTTTGAGAAAAGCGAAAGCAGCAGGCGCCGGCTTCGGAGGGTGACGGCCTTGGCTTGACCCTGACTCTGTGGACCCTGAGGGAGCTGGAGCGTCCGGGCCCCCCTGAGCAGCGGCGCAACACCTGGTTTGCCTCAGTTTCCCCCATCTGTGCGGCGGGAAGAAGCCGCAGGCCTCTAGGACTGGAGCCGGGGCCCCGGGCGCGCTCCGACCGGCGCGATCCTAACGCCCCGGGTAAGGGACTGGAACCCAAGAGTTGGGGCGGATCGAGCCCAGCACAGAGCACCGCGGGAGGAAAGAGGCGAGGGAGGGGTGCAGGAGAAGGGAGAGGACGAGGGACAAGCCCGGGGCCAGCGGGTGCCCCCTCCGGGGCTGCTAGCCCCGCAGGGCGCGCGGATAACATCCTGCCCACCCACGCACCCCAACTCACCCAGGAGTTGTTCCGCACCCGGTCCTGAGGCCCTCGCTCGCCTGGCCCCGCCCCCGACCACCGGGCCCCGCCCCGACCACCTGGCCTCGCCCCGAGCTCACCTGGCCCCACCCCGTACACCTGGCCCCACCCGGGACACCTGGCCCCACCCCGGACACCTGGCGCTGCTCCAGGGCCGGGAGCGCGGAGCCAGCCAGCCAGCCGGGTTCGCGTCCCCTCCCGCGCGGCCTGTACAGCTCTCCCTTTGCGCGACACGTTCGCCCATCTTAAGGGCTGTGCCAAGTGAGGCGGGACAGGGTGAGATCTGCGCCCTCGGTGGGGTGCTGAGCCAGCAAGCGCCCCAGAGCGCGCGCGTAGGGCCCTGTGTGGTGCGCGGAACAGATGGGGACAGGGACCCGAAGCCACAGGCGCCTGTGCCAGGCCGGGATGGGGAGCTTCCTGGACGCCTCCAGGACGCAGGCGGGTCCAGATCTCTAGAAGGCGCTAGTTTTGTACTGGCCGCCAGGGGGCCTGCCTGGGAGTCAGAGCAGCTCCGTTGGAGGTAGGGGCGTCGCCCACCTTCGCCCTTCCACCAGGCCCCTATCCCCCTAGACTTTCCTCTCCGGGCCTCAGGCCCCTGCACCCCAGCTGTACGCGCCAGCTTTGCCTCCTGTCCTCCGCCCACAGCCTGGAGCCTGCAGCGCAGTGACCGTTCCATGCGGCCCTTACACCCCGTTCTCCCACTGGCCTCAGCCGACCTGCCTCGCACTCATGTGTGGTCCATCACCGGCCTGATGGCTCCTTCCTGAAATCGTCACACAGTGCCACCACCTGTCCCCACTTCCAGGGCCCCGGGGCAACCCAGGTCCCCTCACTTCTGCCCATGCCCCTCAGCAGCTGAGGTGGGGAGGCCCTGAGGGCCCTGCCCTGGTGGTCACTGTCCCTTCCCTCCTGGTGTGTGTGTGGGCTCCATTGTCCCCAAGTCCTGCCCAGAAGGGGCCTGGATGCAGCATCTCTAGGGCCACTTAGGCCTGGTTATCAGGTACAGAAGCCAGGACAATGGGGAGTGGGAGCAATCTGGTCACAAATTTGGTGGCACAGACCACCCCCGATCCTGTGCAAGGCTCCACCCCCTGCCACCGGGCAGCGCAGGCTGTCCTAGGGGACCCACGGACCCCTTCCTGGATGACTGGGGAAAGCAGGCCCCGGCCTCCCTCTCCCTAGGAACTCTAGGAACCCCAGTGCTGCAGTATGCACTACCATGCCCAGCAATTTAGTCAACATGGGCCAGGAAGCTTCTGCATCAGGAAATGAGGACCCAAAGAGAGGGGGACCTGCACAGTGGTCCACTGTGGAGGATGTGATGGAGTGCGCAGGTCGCCGTCCAAGGGGGAGCTACCCAGGCCTGTCTATCCAGGTGCCTCCTCTCTGTGTTGCCTTATCCCTGGAGATAGGCATCATCCTTTCCTCTGAGCATAGGGAGGGCAGCTCTCAGATGAGGCTCTTAGGACCTGATTAGGGGACAGTGAAACTGGAGGTTGAGAGCAAGTCGCTCCCTTCATGTCCTCAAAAGCCCAGGTGCCTACTGGAGTAGTAAGTCTTGATCTCCATCCCTGGCAGCTGTCCTGTGACCTGGAAGGGATCCAGTCTCGGGACAGAGCAGAAATGGCCAGGAACCAGGTCCTTGGTCACTAAACCTAGCCTATCTTGCCTCTGGACTTCAGCTAAATACACCCAGAGATTTTCTCGTTTAAACTAACTTGAGGGTTTTCATTCCCTGCCCTCCAAAGCACCCATTTTAACCACATCTTCTGACAACATGCGCAGAAAAAATATCCCAGGGAAGACCTGTGAGTGGCTGATCCGGAGATGCCGTGACCTCTGGCATGAGGCAGAAACTGGCAAAGTCAGGCCAGGCTTTCATGCGGTTTATACGGGCTAAAGGTAACCGTGAAATACAAGGGGCGATTGCAAAACGTACCACAGTAAAAGGCACATTGCCACGGATCCCCTTCAAAACCCACCACCTTGCTTAGAACGCGCTCACCCTAGCTTTCTCGCAGCACTTTCCCGAGCAGCCTTCCCAAGGGCGATCCAAGCTACACCACCTGCTGCTGCCCCGCGCCGCCCAGTGGAAAGGCAAGCTCGTAACACCACAATGCTGTGCCCTCATCCGCCCTGTTCAAGGACCTGGCACTGTGTGATGACATGGGGCTGTTCCCCAAAGTCCAAATGACTGTGAAAGGGCAATGTTCTGAGCTGATGGGGGACATCGAGGCAAGCATGACAGCACAGTGCGGACAGCTCCTTGCACACTCAGCCAGTATCCGTCCCCGCAAGCCTCTTACTGTGCGAAGAAGCAGGACTGTCCTTGCCTGCGGGTTGTCCAGCTGACACCACCCTGGGCAGGGGAGGCACTCAGGAAACCAACACTGGAACGGTCTGATGTCTGCTGCATCTCAGCCTGGGGTTAGATGGGGCAGGAACCTCTCTGTGTCAGAGAGCATCGGGGAGATGTCTTGCCCCTGTGTCGCACAGGCCTGATTATGTTCTTTTACTGCCCAGTGCTGATTTTCAGGGGGAGCTGAGGATTGAATCCTGGCCCTTGTATGTGGGGACATTTTTATTGCTACTATAAGAGTAGTTAGTCTCTTATAGAGAGAGGGATGCTGCAGGATTTGTTTGTTTTGTATTTAGTACAGGGACTACAGGGTCTCACTACGTAAATCAGACTTGAAGTGATCCTCCTGTTTTCAGCTTCCCAAGCGCTGGGATTATAGGCGCATGCCACCACACCCAGTCTCAATCACCCTGGGGGGGTGGAGCCAGCATGGCAGGCTAGGGATTGAACCACCAACCTCTGCATCTGCCTAAGCAGGTGCTTTAATCCACTGAGCTATCTGGCCAGCCCTAGGATTTGTGTTTTAAAACTGAACTTCAAAAATACAAGCAGTGCCCCTCCACCCGGTTGGCATATCCTGGCAGTGTAATTTCATGGCATTCAGAGACAATGGGCAGTGCCCCCTCCCTGCCTCTCTGTCCTGTGAAAATCTTGTATGGATTCCATGACCACAGCTCAGTGGAATTAAAAGATTCACAGTAAAGCACTAACGGTGGCTGTGCCTCCTCCGGAGAACGCGGGTGTGTTCCACCACTCACAATAAAATGGACAGACACAGAAAAGAAATGTGAAGCCCAGGCCCCTTCCTTTCTTCTGGTTCCCCCCAAGCACTGTCTCATCAGTAATCCACCAGTTAGTCATTTCCTTTTGTTACTATAACAATAACTCCTTGCATTTCAAACGCTTCACCATAGAAGAGGAAGAGAATAACAACATGGAATGAAGGCATTACATCTGAATGGTATTATCCCTGGCTTTATTAGATTTGCTCTTACACGTTTATGGAGGCAGAGAGCTGGTTCTCCCCCAGCGGCAAGTTCCACATTCCTAACTGCTGGGCACGGAGTGGTGAGCGGGGAAAGGCTGGCCTTCGGTCCCAGGTCTGGGCTTGGGGTTTGTTTTCTTCCAAACTGTTCATTCTGCCAACTCCCGCAGCTAATGCCTGGCCCGCCTTGAACTTGATTAAATTGCGAAGGCAACATTTCCCTCCTGGGTGGGTGAGGCAGCCAAGGGGTCCCCCAGGTCATTTTCCAGCTGCCCCCTCTGTGGGTCAGGACGCTGGACCCCCGGGGTTAGGGTTTGCCTTGATGCTGTGCAGCCAACCCCAGAAGCAGCGCCCTGGACCCATTTTAGAGCAGAGGCGCTGGGTAATCAGTATGGTTGAAACAGAATGCGCTTTCTATGCCATGCTATCTGGGATGCTTGGGGTCTAACGCTGAAACCCTTTTGACATAGCTGACAGCCCCTGCTCCTGATGCCCCTGTTGACAGGGCTGGGTACACCAGCACCAGTGCCTTCCAAATGCCTTTGCTAGGTTGGAATTCCACGCCTTGCCAGACAACTGGTCTACCCAGCATACTCTGCCTTGACACTAGGTGGTTATCAGTGACAGCTTCTGTCCCTGCGACACTCCCCCTGCCCCATGGGAGGGTGGTCCTAGACCCACATGCTGGGGGAGGTATTTGCAGCAGCGACAACCAGCTTGGGAGGTGGGGGGAGACCACTTGGGCAGCCTGGGGCTCAGTGGGTGTCGCCCTAGTGGTGGCGGCGGTAGTGAATGTGGCCCAGGGAGACGTGAGCATCCGTGCTGTGGGCGCATCGTGGTACAGGTACAGGATCTGCACACTGGCTGAGCATCCCAGCCTCCCCACAATTCCCTGACGCTGCGCCCTGAGCCGGGCTCCTCAGGACTCCAGGCCCTGCTCTGTATCAGCAAGCTCCTTCCTGCATGATCAGCCGGGCCCTCTCCAGCAGCCTGACACAGCCTCGCCTGCTCTCCATGTGCCCACATCTGCATGGGAGCAGAGACACCACCGCTCAGACTTTGTATTTGGAAAGATGCCTGCTACACACGAGGAGACTGGGGCTGGGTGACCTGTGACGGTCACACAGCAGCCAACTCTGAGTCACGATGGAGGCCTGGCTCTGCCTGCTGGGTGTGCCGGACACTTGGCACATGCAGTGCAGTGACTGGGTCAGCCCTGACTTCGCTCAGGGACCGCTGACTCTAGGATGCATTCGTAGTCAGGCCAGGCCAAGCAATACTGCCGTAACAAACGTCCCCTTCCTGTACCAATGTCTCATGCATGCCGCCTGTCTGCCTCCTACCTGGCATCTGTCCCTGCCGAGGGCACCCCTGACAATAAACTCCAGCTCCAAAGACAGAGTGCCTCTTCAGCCGGGAACTCACTGGCCAGAGCCGGGTTAGTCTCCCCCAAGCCCCAAGAGGACAGGAAGTAGAGAACAGGGGCCCCCTGGAGGAGCAGGCGTGACCCAGGGTCTTGCCAGCATCAGCGATGGTCCTGTGCCTGGAGGAGGCTCCTCCACCCCACCCACCGGGTCCTGCTTCTCCCAGCATCTCCGCTGCACTCTCCGGGATAGGACCACCAGTAAAACACTGGGGTTCTGCAGAGGGGCCCATGGGGTACAGGGGACAGTGCACCTCACCTAAGGGAGGCAGCTGTGGAGAGCTGCGGGGAGTAGGCCTCGCTGTCACACACACGCACGCATATGCATGGCTACACATGCATCCCAAGGGTCAGCTCCGGGAAGGGTGTAGACAAGACCTCCAAAGCCCACAGGGACCCACAGCTAGGCTTTCCTGGATGCCCCCTCACTGGCGGCTCTGTGGCTGTGGGGCAAGGCTCTCCTGTCTGGCTCCAAATGACCCTGCTCTGCCTCCAGGACAGGCCTGAGTTTGCTGACCCATCCAGAGCTCTGTGTCCCACCTGTTCTCCTAACCTGAGCCTAGCTGCAGCTAGAAACGGCTCCAAGGAAGGAGCTGAGGATTGAGACTGCAGAGGAAGGGCTGACTGCTCTTCTTCGGCCACTCCCTGCTCCCCGCCTCGGGGCGTCTGCAACCTGGAAGGCCCTGGACATCTCTGCTCCTCCATCCACAAGTGGCCTCTGGTCCAGCCATCTTGCTTCCTTCTGGGCCGCCTGATACCCATGGCTCCTCCTCCCCAGAGACCACAGGAGCTTGTACCTGGCCTCCTGCTGCCCAGCTACCCGGGGACAGGGAGAGGGCTCGCATCACTATGCCAGCGCCCTTGGATCGAATGACTTTTTTGGTTGAACTGGGGATTGAGCTCAGGCCCTTGCGCTTGCCAGGCAAGCACTTACTCTCCTGAGCCATCTCCAGGGCCCCTGCCCAGTGCCCTTGAGCAGCAGCAGCTCTGTGGCCTGGTGCTGAAGGTCACTCATTGGGAGGGGCCTCTGCCCTCCCTCCTGGCCCAGCCTGTGCCTGAGGACACAGCACACACCCATGTGCATGTGCCAGCTCACAGGGGCGTCCTGCATGCCTCCTCCTAGGGCTCTGGCAGCCCCACAGTGCCCTCAGTTCCTGCCCACGTGGGCCTGGGTCTCAATCCTATTCCGTAGGGGACAGAGGCTGTCCAGAAAGCTCGCTGTCTTGTCCTGTGGCAGCATCAGCACACTGGCTGAGGCTCAGGCTCAAGGTCACATCCCTCGCATAAACTCCATCACCCATCACTACACACACAGTCACTGGACCACACACATGTGCACACACGCTCACAGCCCGGCAGCCTCCCTACCCGCCCCCTGCGTCCAGGACGGCCAGCAGGGCTCTGAGAGGTGCGACCCTGAACATCAGGGGCAGACACAGCCAAAGTGAGCTGACATTTTATTCCACACTGCCTGTCCTCCAGGGCCCCCTCAGGCAGAGGGAGGGCAGGTGGTGGCCCAATGCAGCCTGTGGGGACAAGGATGGGGCTGCTACAGAGCCCTGCCCCCTGGGGCTGATCTGGGCCATGCAGGCAGGCAGCACCCATTCAGTCTGTGACGGATGTGGACACCGCCAGTGTGGCAGGCAGGGATGCAGTAACCCCCACACTGGACACTCGCTATGTCCCTGGTGACACTAGAGGTGACAGCTTTCACTGGACGGGAGCAGGGAGTATAAAGTGACCGAGGCAGTGATGAGGTTGCCAGGGGGCTGGCGAGTGGGGACAGTAGAAACTTCTTGCACGCACGCAGGCACCATCAGGACACGTTCTCACGTGGTCAGGAAAGGGCTGTCAGCCCTGCCACTCACACGATGCTCTGCCGGCCCCCGGTCCTCTCGAAGTTGGGCACCCCAGAGCTGCTGCCCCGGCCAAAGTCAATGAAGATGCCCTCGGAATCCGAGTCTGCTGACTCCAGGGTCTGGTCCAGGGTCTCGGGGCTGGGTGCAGAGGCGAGGGCTGGGCTGGACTTGGGGGACTGGGTTGTGGGGTACAGTCTGCTGGGCCAGGGCCCCGAGTGGGGTGTTGTGGGCCCCTGGCTGGGTGTATCGGTGAAGCCCTGGGGCTCTGGGCAGGATGTCATCTCGGACACCGAGTGCCTGCGGATGCTTGTGCCACCAGCCGCCGTGCCCTCTGCCTCGTGCTCGGCCACTGGATTCAGCAGCGGCGTGTTGTAGCTCTTGGAGCGCACCACGGGGTTCTTGGCCAAGACGTCCCCTGAGCGGGAGCGGCGCAGGAGACGCTTCTCTGTAGGGAGAGGCACACGGCTGCATGCAGAGCGTCCCCATGCCTGGCGCTGTGTGCCCCGCCCTTCCAAGGGTTCACCCTCCGCCTGGCCGGGCAGTGGGACCGCAAGCCAGGTGCCTAGGTTCAAGTGTGCACCTGTGTCAGTGACGTCAGTGCTCTGCGCCTCTTTCCCCACCATGTATGCAATCTACAAATTGTAGGGAAATGGCAGCTCCCTAACATTCAGCTCCTGCCTTTTTAGGCCTGGTATCCCAGAGATTGGGGCACAAACCCACAGAGTAAACTGCAGGGGGGACAAGGGTGTGTGACAAGGACCCGCAAGAACTGTCACAGGGGAGGGGGAGGGGGAGGGGAAGATGTCAGGGAGGTCCACCGCTCTGAGTGTGGAGAGAGCCGGTGGTCAGTGTGCAGAGCGGTGGATTGCAGGGGCCCTGCAGTTCCCCATAGTGACCACTAGGTGGCAGGGTGTAGGACAGCAAGAGGCCTTTCCTGGAAGGCTGGAGAGGTTGGGGGACCCCTTGTCCAGGGTCCAGGGGCAAAAGGGCTGGGGAAGGGCCATGCTCACTGGCTGTAGGACCTGCCTGAACCACCCGGTGGAGGAAGAGGATTCCGTCTAGGGGGCAGGCACGAGCTGCCACTGCAGATAGAGGAGGAGGTTCCCAAGTGGTCCTCCTACCGCTGCAGCTCCCACCCTCCAACCCTGTGGCCACTGCGGGGACTCAGTCACCCACTGTCCTGCTAGACCCGAGCCTCGGGGGGCGAGGCTTGGTCTCCGGTACCCAACTGACCTTGCGGGCGGACGAGAAGAGCACTTTGGCAGCTCTGTGGACACACTAGGCCACCCCCATCCCTCCTCTATGGGTCTTGGTGCTGCCCACCCGAGTCCTCCCCATCCTCCCTGGTTAGGAGCAGGAAGTCCTGAGGCCCAGGCATTTACAAGGACTCTGCCTTCTTCCGACATTTAAGACTAAGCCGGACTGAGACCTCCCGGGAATGGGATGTCACCACTCATCTGCCTGTGGGTCTACAACCCCTCCTCGCTCCACCGAGTGCCCTGGCTGGACCGCTGGGAGTTTGCTTCAGGACGTATGCTTCCCCAAGGGACGCTGGTCCTCTCGCTCTCTGCTGTGGGCCTTCACCTGTCTATCAGCTCATAGGTGGGCGGGGCTTGCGGCCACTCCGCACCCACCCAGGACCCAGGTGACCCCTACCCAGAAGGCAGGAGTGGACGAAGGGGCCCTCGCTTGAGTAGAGGCCGTAGGTGCCCAAGTAGGGGGACACCACCTTCTGGACCAGTGTCTCCAGGCGCAGGTAGGCCTCGGTCGTACCCCTGGCTTCGTGCACGCCCTGCAAGACAGCAAGAAGCGGGGTGTGGTACGCGCATGCGCGACACATCTCTGTGGTCCCTGGCCTTGCCACCCCCGCTGCTCCTGAGCCCTCTGTGCTGCTCCCCAGCAGCTGTGTTGTCCGGGAAGCCCAAACCCGCCTCCGTCCACCCACAGGCTCCGGGACGCCAGGCTCCTGAAGCAGCAGTACCTCCTCCCCACCGGGCTGCCTCTGTCCTGGGCCTCCCGGTTGCTCCTGGCCACTCTCCCTGCCACCGCCCTCCACACAGTGGGCCACTGAAGCTCCTCCCAGCCCCCGATGGGGGCACCTCGGTGCAGCTCCAGCGAATGCCTCCTGAATACATGATCGATGTGTGAATGAATGGACGCAGACAGCAGGGCTGGGACTGCCAGCTGCCGACCCTTGGGGAGAATGCTGAGTGACAGCCACGCCAGCACGTGGTGACAGCCAGTGTTCAGGATGGGCTGTAGGAGACTTGGTACCAGGCAGACACAGCTGTGACTCATACAGGGGCAGCAGTCACCTGGTCCCCAGGTTGGCAGACTCACAAGCCTGGCCAGGACTGGGGATTGGAGGTGGTAGTGGAGGTCCCCACCCCCTTGGACTGTTCCTGCCCACAGCAGTGGGGACAAAAACGTGCCCCTGGCCCTAGCACTGCTTCTGGAGCCGGGCTGCTATCTCAGGGACCTTCTGCCATCTGTCTTTAGAACCCGGAGGAGCTGTGTCCCCTGCCCTGTTTGGGTCTCTGGGCAGATGTTGCGGTGCTGGGGTTGAATCGGGTTCTCAGAAGGCCCTGCAGTGGTTGTGACCTCAGCCCCACTCCAGACCCAAGATAGCAGGGGTCAAGTTCACTGGGACAGGCACCAGGGGCCTGGGCAGCATCATCTGTGACGGCTAAACTGATTGGTCTGGGAGCCCTTTGGGGGGTCTGGTGGGGCACACCCCTGGGTGTGCTGGGGTGGCTAGGGAGGTGTGACCTTGGGTGCCAGGCCCTCTTCCTGCCCCTGGCCCTCCCACGTGGCTTCCCTGTGCTGGTTCCTGGCCCCCATGACCTGAGCAGCTTTGTTCGGCCAGGCCCTCTGCCCTGCTCCTGCCTCAGGCCAGGCAGCCACAGACTGAATCCCGAAACCCTGAACCAGGCTGAACTCCTCCTCCTCCAAGCTGTGGGTGTGGGGCGCTGCGTGCAGCACCGGGAAAGCCACTCATCGATCACTCAAAATGGAGCTCTGGTCAGGGCAAGTGCACAGACTGGGGAGCCGAGCCCATCCCGGAAGCTGCAGGAGTCACAGCAACCACCAGGGGTCAGCACAACCCCACCCTGGCCTCCCAACACCTTCCGGGGTACCTCATAGCCCAGCTCCCCTGGAGTCCATGGGAGGATTTTCTTGGGATTGCTGCCCACAACCCTCACACCTGCCTGCCAGGTAGGAGGTCTTGTCAAACAGATGGGGACACCGAGGCCCAGCTACCCCACAGCCAGGCCAGGCAGAGCTCCTGCTGGCTCTGGAACCCTTTGCAGGTTCCCCCAGGGCTGCCCTGAAGGGATCTCAAAAGAGGGTTCAGGAAGACCCACAGGGCACTGCAGCCTGAGAAGCAGGGCGGGGCACCCGGGAGACACTGCCGGCCCGGCATCTTCCCTGCCTGCCTCTCCTTCTCTGCCTTGCAGGTTTTCTCCAGGTCCCCAATTCCCCAGCGGGCCTGGCCCTGCGCCCATGCGCACACCCCACCTGCAGCACCAGCGCACACCCCACCTGCAGCACCAGCGCACACCCC